AGCGGGTGTGCAAGTGCTTTCGCTTAACGCCAAGAAAAGTGACATTATTTTGTCATAGATCAAAGCACCATCAAAATACGAGACTCTTGCAAACCTTGGCGGCCCCAAAGCCGTATTTTGAAAAATTGCTTTTATTTATCTTTTTCCTGATCTCTTTCAAAGCTGGGCAAGAGAGAATTGACAGTGTAGTATGCGCTTTGGGATCTGCTAGTAACAATTTAAGCACTTATTTTTAACACTACACCATACCATTTTCAAAACTGCACTTGGGAGATTTCAATCCCAGAGGAATGCTTCAAAGTACTGTGCAGTTTGTTTTTAAACAAATTCTTTTGACACTAGTCAGGAAGATTCTTTTCTCGAGCTAGTGATGGGTGTGCTATTTTTGCTGCCTTTCATTATTCCACAGGTAATTCAGCTCACCATCCTCATGGTTTTCTTACTTGAATCCAGTAGCAGAACGCGTTATTAAATTCTTACAAGTCTTTTTGCAACTGCTTTGAAAGGGACTAAACAATGAGACAATCAACATTACTTTGATTTCACCCAAGACTCTAACAATGCTATGGGCTAGTCATGTTTACATTGTATGAGAAATTAAATCTCTCAGAGACCAATGGTGCACCCTGGAAATTCCACAGATTACAATTGTCACTGTTGATGGAGCAACGACTGCAGGGTTAGGCCCACAGTGAAGAAGTAATGACCAGCAAAGAAACTGTCTTCAGACTGCAATTGGACCTAATTATACTGAACCGAAAGGAGTTATGCTGCCTAATTTAGTGCTTTCAGTTACACATAACCCACTATCAGATTTTGAACTAAATCAAGGAAGAATATTTGGTGCCTGCAAGTACCCACCCATACTCCATTACATACCTATTCCCTCGCATTTATGTTCTCCCTATGCCTCTAATAGCCTCTGAGCCATCACTTTCAGTTGCAACCAGTACCAATAGTAGTAGTAAGTGAATATTTTTAATAATGCTGAGACCAGATTATCTAACCACCTATTTTTAACCAATCCTCCCTTGTCAGAAATTAATTATAATTGCCATATCATTGCAGTACCATCTCCTCTGAGACAGTTATGTTATACAGGCAAAAGGTGGGATGTGTTTATTAGCAGGATAATCTCTCTCCTCTCCTCCCTCATTTTTAATACATATACCATGACATTGTTGGAATATATACAGGTGGATTTTATTGCTTTTTTCTATATAGTTGGACAGTTAAAGGGGGATTTCTCTTTTAGGATAAATTGTTACCTGAATAGGAGTAGTAGTACATGAGACACCACTAAGAGTGCTAGCTTAACTGTTTGCTAGATATGCTTACTTCGTTTTAATCATAGATTAATTTTTTCCCATCACTTGGAGTCTGGTCTTGCACCTCTTCAAGTGTTTACGTATATTGTCAGGGTCTGAGTTTTTGTGGCTTCCATTGAGAGGAAGGAAGCTTAATAATGAAAACATTTTCCAAATACAATTAAAAAAAAATAACCAGACTTCTATAAAGTTGAAGGCAATTGATTATTTATGGTCACCTGTACAACTATCTTCTGTGCTCTGTGCAAACACAGATTTTTTTCTTTAGGACTCCAGAGCAATGCATGGCTGGAGGGGTCAGTAGCACCCAAGCTTTTCACTGCTTGCTCTGCACCAACAACAAGGAGTCTGGTGGCACCTTAAAGACTAACAGATTTATTTGGGCATAAGCTTTCGTGGGTAAAAACCTCA